GAACCGTCCGAAGGGCACGTTGGTGACGACCCCACTGAACGTCGACGCCAAGGTGTATACGACTAGCGTTCTCAACAATGTCGTCCCCGCAAACGCGGCCAAGTTTCCTCGTGCCTGTTTGCAACGTGGTGTTCTCATCCAACAAGACAACGCAAGCCCGCACAGAGTTGTGTCGACCGAGATGTTGGTGGCGAATGGGGTGCAATCAATTGGCATCGCGAACCAACCACCAAACAGCCCCGACTTTAACGTTCTAGACTTAGGATATTTCAACGCTATTCAAAGTCTACAGTATCAAAAGAGAACTCGTTCGATTGACGATCTCATTGATGCTGTAGAACAATCGTTTGTTGAGTTGCCAGTCAATACTCTGGCTAAGACTTTTATCACGTTGCCGAAGGTGATGGAATGTGCCCTGCTTGATAGCGGGGGAAATAACTTCAAGATGCCGCATATGAAGAAGGGCAATACCATTGACGACGTCACGTCCTTTCAAGTCCAACGCTGTTCTACTGCCATCGTCGCCGCCAAAACTCATATGAATTCCCATGATTGAGTAGTTTCTATTTTAATTAATACAGTGATTATATTTGCCGACCCAATATGCGATATGACAACTCCATACAATCTTCACTATACTTTGAGTCGAACGAGCATTCTTTAACCAAGTCAAAACACCGTAGCGATTATTATGGACCACAGTAGTACCAGGAACGCAATGGTAATTTTCTTCATTTTGAGGACGTAAGAATTATTTTGACTGGTTCCTCGAATATTGGTTTAAAAGTCCCGCTAAACCTCGTCCTCATATCAACGTCGAGCCATGGCCTACACCAGATACACCATTGGATGTTGGTGTCATGGGGCCATTGAAGAGCATGCTTCGTTACAAGTGGCTTCACGAAGAGCCGGTTGTGTCTGCAGTTGAAAAACGCATGGCTATTCTTAAGCGCACTATTGAAGCCTGGGAGGACATGCCATGTGAAACCATCACTTGCTCATTTGAAAATGCGTTGCCACGGACTCAAGTAGTGTAGCTTGTCACTTGAAAATATATTTCATTTTCGAAATGTTTTTGGTTTTCAGAACTATTGTAGTATTTGTTGCTAGTCGTCGTGGTCGTAGCTGAGCACTAAATGATCCATTTCTACCGATCATCGTTGATATTGCACTTCAATTCAAAAACAGCTTGAATAAAATACTGACAATTCTCATTGAGGGTAATTTTATTCAGCATACAAATTTCAAGATATGTCACTAGTACCACTGGGGGCATTCTTCCGTCGCTCACTGTATTGGTAAAGTATACAGTACTTGAATTAGGATTGAATCAGGATTTAGGACTCTGTTGTTCATTGTGATGTATTCAGCCCATATGATCGATAATGGAAATATCTCGGTCAGTGTTGAGTCGTGTACTCCTAAACAACGAACGCACATTTTGAACATTGGCCATCATTTTCCGTTAGAAATCGAAAAAACATAGAATTGAAGCGTCTTTTGTTACAGGAACGACAGAAATCTTTCCCCCGTGGTACTCGACCATACTTCTGGATATTAATATAATCGACGTCCATAATCACCCTCTGGAAATTGAGAATATTTTTGACCAATCGATGACAATATAATCTACGTCCAAGCACATGATATGATACAACTTGCTGTCGTCAAATAAAAACTATACACTTAGTTACTTATACTTAGAACGCTATTAACCTAATGTGTTATTGCATTATCCTGAAATGATCACCCAAGATGCACAAAATGTCAAAGTAAGATTGCGTTTTGGCTGAGCAATTATGGTGACCGCTGCCATTCGCTGTGACCCCTCTTTAAATATTACCGTTATACCTATTCCAGAATATGTTGAACATCGCAACTGTGCGAAATTGTTATCAACTTATCGCACCAAGAAGATAACTTCGCTCAATCATTAATTAACAGTAGAAGGTTGAATGTAAGTAAAACTTGCATTCAACCTTCCTCTTTTTTCCTGGGGCATAAAACTTGCATTCAACCTTCCACTTTTTTCCTGGGGCATTTATTATTCGTTCACTCACAACAACAGAAATTTCTGGTGCGTTGTTTTGGACAACAATTTACTCCAACATTGCGCAATTTGGATTAGAAAAACCATAGACTGTTCTCACAAAATGCACTAACACCCCTCGCGATTTCATGTAACATTGGTTTGCCAGCAGCGAAAACGCTGGCCTGTAGTATGTGCTCAAATTGTATGACTCGCTCAGGAAGAATCTGAACAATACAGACATCAATACAAAATATAAAATAATATAAGATTGGACGAGACAATAGATTAGTCGATTCACTCTTTGGACGCGGGGCCAACTGACGAGCAAGCGGATCTACCAGCAAGTGGTTCCGCGAAAAATCTGTGGTGTCCGCAGCCGAGAAGAGGCTGGCCATGATACAG